CGATAGTTGGCGCTTAGATTACTTGAGTTGCGATGCAACTGTCACCTTCTCTCCTCGTTTGCATATCTGGAACCGGTCATAAGTCAGAGTCCGGACGAACAGAGGCGGGCTTGTGCTCAATGATAGGCAAACCTAAACGAGCAGTCGTATACGTGTGTTACACGCTATCTGGTCTTTTCAAAAGGAATCAGGTTTCACTGTAGCAGAAGACGGCTCTTCTGCATTGAAGTGTCATAAAGGTCATATTCAGAAGGAGCTATTGATCTTGGTGCTTAGTCGCCCATTCAGTCACCTCCATGCAACAGTTTGACCGTCGTTACTGATGATGTTCACTGTGTGCCCCATAATAGGGTGAGCACAAGGAGGGTGACTTAAGCGTGGATTAATTTACTGTTGTACTAGACGTTCATAGGATCTACCGCACACGCCTGGGCCCGGTGTCAAGACAAAGTGAAAATAACCGAAGGCGGAATCGTACACAGGTGGGTGGCCCGACGTGAGCCTGCGCCTAGGCGATCACTCACACTCTCCTGGGTGACCTTTAGTATGAGTGCACGAACATGACAACCCCCGCCCCCTGGTTGGTCCGGCGCATTTACTTCGTTGGTGGTTTTAGAAAAAACTCCAATAGAAGTGAATATGCGAGTTCCAGGAAGCAGTTCAGAAGAAGAGGATGCGATCACTGGAACGAGAGTTTCATTTTCCTGAAGTTTCGAATCCTGTCGAGAATCCTTAATCAAGGGTTATGGTAGAATAGTCTGAACCCTGCCCGCATCCGATACGGACAAGGAAATCGCGGCAAGCTCTCACCGCACCAAATAAGACCCCAAGTGGTGGCTACAGGAGTGGATAGTTATAGTACGCATGCGAATGACCGCTACGAACTATAAATACCGCGCAAGCTGTGCACGTTTCACCCCTATCTGCGAATTATCCTACGGTTATCGATGACAAGAGAGTCTCGACAGAATCCGAAACTTCAGGAAAATAAAACTCTCGTTCCAGTGATCGCATCCTTTTCTTCCAAAACTCCACACATCCACACATACTCAATGCATTTTAACACACTGTACTGACGGCGAGGATCGAGTTCCACCATTCCCTTTCAAGCTACGACTTTAACGCTTTGTCGTAGTTTTGGAGCGCTTCTGCTTCATGTAGTGGAGACGGCAAATACGAGGGAGACCGGAATAGCCATTTCAGGCTTATCAGCCGTCATCAGGCAGTAATACCCTATCCCAGGGTTGGCGACCCCGGAGAATCGAACCCGAGACCTTTGGTCACTGAGTGCAACACTCTACGAGTGCACCATGAGCCCTTTGTTTTTGTCGGTTGTGATGGCTAATATGATGACGGGAGAACGACAAAACGGGTCGAGCACGTTCCGTAACCGGATCAGTGGGCGCATCACTATCGTTATAGGGAGTAAAAAACTGATGTGTCGTGTGGCTGACAGTCGGCCTCTCTTTCCTCCCTCTTCTGTGCACCAGCTGACCTATCAAGCAGGTCAAACATCCAGTACTGGGGGTGAACGCGGTGGTTGACAAGGCGTCAACAGCTCGTCTAAGTGTGCCACAAACGATCTGGTCAGACATCAAGTTTCGCCAAAGGAATGGAGCCCCACTGAGGTGACCTAATCACCAGATTATTTTACGACTAAAATAGGGCTGCGAAAGCCCACACCACCTGAGCTATGAGTCACCTATGCGTGAAGTATTTCTCAGTTATTGCCTAATCATTAGAAATAACTCAAGATCCGGAGAGTGTAATTATGCGTAGTAATCAGTCAAAAACGGTCAATACCAGCAGTTCTTATTGAAATACACGAAGGGGACGGAGTCAATTATGATTAAATCCATACTTTTTCTGCCTGCAAATTTAACTCCATATAGGGAAAGAGCATACGAGGTAGGTGACCGACCGCAATGATTGCTATTGCCCCACTCTGAGCCCCTGGTCTACTAGGGCGTTGGTTTTTCTGAATTGGCAGTTTAAGTACATCATTCATGTACTAACCGTAATACCTTAGCCTATGGAGTTGTTCGATTACCTGACATTTCTCCGGGTTGCCAGAAGTGCATTAGCTAAAAAGGACGAGGAGATGAGCCCAGAAGCAAGTTTGCCTATTTATTTACACAAATCCTAGTCAAAAAGTAACGACGTGTTTCATGTTTAACTTATCAACGTGGCTTTAAGTGTATTTGTTGATATTATTGGCAACATATCTGCAGGGTTTATCATGTGTTTCAATAAGCGGTGCGTTTTAAAGGAGAGAAGGGACGTCTGGTAAAGCCAACATTCTGTTCAGGTCGAAATATTTGATGTCATTAAAGAACTCGAGGTTATATCGGTGACTATGTGATGCCAGTTGGCATCGTATGGGCTTGAGTTTCCCTGCTCACTAGCTCACAGAAAGTACTGAATATCTAAAACTGAAAGAAATGTCAGATCATTAAGTTGGTTTGGCAGATTTGCTTAATTTGAGTTGACCCAAGTGTGA